CCGTTTAACAATATTACAAAATATAACATTCGCTTCATATTATTGGTATATACAAGCAGAAGGCGACAGGATTACTTGGAGAGCAAGGTAATAACGGTATTAACGATAATAACGGTTTTCTTTAAAGATGCCATCTAGTAGACCTACATTACAGCTTCCCCAAACAAAACCACACAACTCAAGAATAGGTTTAATACTAGCATTAAATTGAACAAAACGATACTTAAATAGCAAGAAATTTTAAACTTTGCTGCGTGCATTTTGACTGACACCAGAAAGTACGATCATATTTCTCCGATAGTGCATGAACTGGGCTCGCTAACTGTACAGTAACAGTTGCGCTTGCGCGACACTACCATGATTTACAAATTATTGATAAATACTACACGTTTAACGCCACAAAATGAATGCACATTGATACTATTAGCCAGATAGAAGTATATTTAGATGTAAAGGTGAGTAGATGTGTAGATGTGATTCGACTGAAAATTAATAATTAATATAAATATATAAGTACAACTTGTACTCATACTGAGTATAACAACAACAAGAATAACAAAAAAGCTACATGAAAGAGAAACGAAAGACCTTTAACCTTTGGTTTTTTCGCAATAAAAAGCTTGCTTAACTCAACTCAACAGATATCGAGTTGAACACGCAGGGAGAAATTCCATATCTACGCGTGCCTATTTATTATTCTTACGTGCAAGAGAGTTCTCCATTACATCCGACATAAATGTATCCAACTAAAACGGGACATTAAACGGGACATTAAATGTGCAGTTGTGGATACGAATTTATCATCTCCCGTGGATAATGTCTCTCACGAGTGAGTGAAGCGAACATGTGATAGATCTTATCAACATTCGAGGTAAAATTCGCACTTCCTAGCAGTGTGTAATATCCTTCCATAGGTTTGCCAGGTTCATTATGACATCTTAAAAATACGCAAATTCTTTTTACAGGGAATTTTACGCTCAAACATCAAAGAATGGTGAACATATTAAATAAAAAATTGGTCACCTGATGTACTTGCGAAATGCTGCAGCATACTTACATCTGATGTCAATTTTGCCTGCAATATTTTGAACTCAACTGACTCTTTGTTATTCAAGGCTGACTTCCAGGTTTCACTCTGTAATGTTAATTTAACGATTCTAATTTTACAATCATTACCTACAGTGCGACAAAATAAAAAAAAATTATAAATTAGTACACATTCCACCTTTTTGTCAGTAAACACTCAATAATGACCATTGCTGGTATCAAGCTAAGAACAGAGACGTCTTTACATAAATAGCAATTCCATGATCTTTTACTGTTCCGTTGAATATTCAACTTCTTGGAAAACTTTAAAAATACTTTCTTCCAAGAGCGTGATCCCTTTACTGATACACTCAGTTGCGCCAACGACATGGTTATCTTCACGCACTTTTACAAATAGTATGTTTCACGAGTTGGAGAACGTTTTAAGAAAAAAAAATGTCTTTACAATCTTTGTGTTTCTGTATTTTCTTCTTCTGAGGCAAAAGGTTTTGAATCAGACTCGTTTGGCAACCAAAATGGTCCAACCAGCCATTGAAACAAAGCGCGGGAAAAAATATTCCCAGAATTTTCAAGAATTTATTCTTGAGTGATAAGAGAAAGGTAATTATCGCGTGCAAAATCTCTTCTTAACACAAAAATTTCTGAGCAATACTTGGCGTTCACATTAACAAATCAAACTTGAACCTTATGAAGGTCAGTGCACCGCCGACAAAAACGCATTCACAAAGACATCCATCCACAGGTACCGGTATCTGCATCAAACTCCCGTGTTACAAATGTAAACGAAGTCTGAACTATAATGAGATCAGATTACGGGAACAGAAAGGGAAAACTACTTTTCTATAATGTGCTTGAAAAATTGAACAATGAATCAAAATGCAATTGTGCTTGTCCCAATTTAAAGCATGATCAATTTGCAAAGGCATTGATGAAATCAGAGAAACAGCCTTGATAATACAGGAAAGACTACTTATATCTTATGCCAACTATGCTGACACTTGTGGCATCATCTCCATATCCATTACTAGCTGTACATCTGTATGATCCTACATCCTCCCTCTTCACGTTCATCAAATGAAAGTGATATCCTATCACATTAAACTTGTCCACGGGAATACCATCTTTCGCCCAAGTTATATTTGGTAGAGGCTCACCGGACGCATTACAGGTCAGAGCGTGGTTTTTTCCAAGAGTAAGCAAAGGCTTTGGTTGTGGCGGTTCAATAATTTCTGAAGGCACTGGGAAATAACGATTTGAGATAAAGTCAATGTGTATGATTGTGCGATTTTATCACAATTATCGCATTGTAATTACCTCTCCAAAGGTAATGTTGAGAGAAAGTTGTGAAATATTGGGGAGACAAAGATCAGCCATATAATAACAACTGATGAAAATATAATAATGGTAACATTCATAGTCATCACTAATAATACACACACATACATGTCTTAGGTTGCTCAGTGAGAGACGCATGCGTCTTTGTGGATAGTGCGCTGGACTCAGTATCAAGGGGTCCACGCTTAAGCTCTAAAGTATTGTGCACTTGAGCGAAGAGTGTACATCGGTGCCATCAAACTTTCATGACATAATACTGGGGGTAGCATTCATTGTGGGCCTATTTTGATGCACGTTGGGGTCCTAGTACTGTTCATGCGACTTCATTCTTATATGCGTCTCTTTTCGTAATGCGTTTTCTGACGATCTCAATGGTCAGAAGGAGCATCGCACGGAGAGATTTTCATCATATTACTTCGTTACAAAACTTGTCGCACTTTGTGAACTAATTTGTGAACGATGTAGCAATGGAGTCGCAAAGCGCGGTAGAAGACAGTCGAAACAAAGAAAATGTAAACGGCTCTGGTGGGTTTATTGTGTTACAAACACAGTTGCATTGGCTTTCCGTTCCGACTCTCGGCGAAATCTTGTTGCTATGTAAGAAATCCTTAATTGATCAAGACTGTTTATACTAAAGTTCGGATATAACGTGCATGCTGTCATTGAGTTAAAAGAGCGTGTTTTATCAGAGTACAGAAATTTCAGTGTTTTGCAAACACGCCAAGTGCCGCAATTGACGTTATCGTAACGTGAGGAAAGAAGAAAATTTCCAAAGAGGAAACAAAATGGACTGTCCGAGTTTTAAGGGTTTTCACACTCAGTTTGATTGTAAGCTTACGTGCTGCAATAAAAATCAAACACAGCTAACACATAGTATATCATAAGTTTCGTGTTCAAAAACAAAATAAAATAAAGCAGGAATGAGAAAAAAATATATCCAAACTAACGTTACTGTTTAAAATTTATACTTATTAAGGATGTCAGGGCGACTATATTGATGCTGTGGTCCATCGCGGCTAGCTCATCATGGTGATGAGTCATCGCCGTGACATCAGTCATCGTCCGCTTTTTTAGCTAAGAACTTGCTCTGTTAGTGTTACGTCACTGCAGCCTAGTGTTACGGTGCTGTCACCCCGAGCAATCTTCATGTTCCTGTGAATTCGACTGTCGTTCATTCATAAAACAAACGCCTTGAACAAAAGCAAAATGTGTTGAATTCGACCTGCCGAACTATTTCAGATTGTGTATTTTTCCAGGTTGTGAACTTTAATGCGTTGACATTTTTGACAGCTTTAGTTTTTTTCAACATATCAGATTATTTGAACCATTCTAGCAAACTTTTTGATTGGATTATTTAAGTGGGTTTTATGAGAGTATAAAATATGCTGACAACACTTTTTTTCGCTTTGAAAATTATATGTTTTGAAAACAGAAAGAATTGCGAGGGGAATTTGACGGATTATTTATTATAAAACAAATAAATAATCCCTCAAAAGGTAGGGAGAAACATTCGATTACGTCTCGTGTTTCCCCCTACACTTCCTTCGTGCTCTAGCCTCTTCCCGAGTACTTTATAACACAACAGAACAAAACACAGTCAAGGCCTTTTTATTTGTTACTCGGACAAGATGGCTGGATATTAGCCTCGTTCCTTTTTTTTTTTTTATTTTTTTACGATTTTATGGACCTCAAAATGAATTCAGCCAATATCCTTGCACTGCGTTTATCACCCACCCGTATACCCGTACCGCGCTATCGGTGCAGTGCTCTTCCAACTTAGCGAACAAGCCAACTGGGAGTTGTTGGTTTTGATGGTTTGTGATAAACCCGTGAAGTGACGTGTATATGAATAACATGCGTTTAAACATAATATGTTTAAACAACGGATTATTAAAAAAAAAAAAAAAGAAGAGAGCGATCTTCGCAGTAATGAACGCTACCTTAAGCAGTAGTGATACTAAATCCTGAAAAAGTCAGGCCCGTAAGGGAGGTGAACCCATGAGATAAGGGTTTCTATTATTGTGATGCCGAGTAGTTAAGATTAGTCATGTGTGTGCGTGAAAGTTGTTATTTCAGAACAGCAAACAAATATAATTTACGGTAAGTTTGATTTCACACCCTTAATCATGAACAACAACCTCATTTCATGAAATACTTTCCTCGAAACGGTTACTTTGTTCCTCTTTGACTGCTGGGAGGTGAATAGTACTTCGCCTATCTCTTCCGTTTAAGCCATTTAACTCGCCCGAAAACCATTACACATTTGCTTGGTCGTTTCTCAATGTAAGTATTTATCTCCCCTAAAAAAATTATATTCCAGGTTAATGTGTAAACATTTTAATTTTAGTGGATAACAAATAGTTTCCATGTTGCATCTGTTCTCGAGCAGATTACAGACCACAAACAATATCATTATAATCTTTATTTAAAGCTGATAGTCTGAATACATTTGCTTGTAGGGTCGTGTATCGAATCAGTGAAAAAAAAAACTGACTGCATATTTGAAAAAAATGAAATTTATGATTCATACCATTAAAAGACTTTTACCAATTGTAGTACTAGGTTAAAAAATGTTTGTAATTAACGTTGAAATCCACCCTAAATGATAAAAAACTTGATCAGGCTCTAAAATGTTTTTAAAAAATTTGTAGAATGATTAATCTTAATATGCTGACTGCCGTTCAAGGATGAGAAATAGAGGTCACCAAACTCGTTATAGATTTACAAGTAGATAAAGCAAATCCAAAAGTTAATTTGAGAGTTTGAAGTCTTGTTTAAAAACTGCCAAAACCTATTGAGGAATAATTTGGTATTTTGAGACTAAATTTAAGGAAACAAACAAAAACAAGTGCACAACGAACGTTAATTAAAGATGAGTCAACTTCAAAACCAGACTGAAGCAAGGTGGACAAAGCAACTGTAACCATACTCTACAGACTGCTAAGAATATTTCAAACTGATCCCCTCCCTCTATGATACGTTGCAACTGATTGTCTTCATTCATTCCATAGATAAGTCATCGACATTCGCATAAAGGGTGGTATCATACTCTCTCATGTTGAAATAAGTGTCCTGAATACGAAAAGGAAAGAAAAATACCTCGACATTAGTATGTGTCAATATGGTTCTAAGTCTAACATATGGAAGAGAAGGATGTAAAATTATAAAAAGTTATGGTAATGATGATGATGATGATACTGGTACTAATAGGATACATAAAAAAATTACTTAGTTCTGATTGGTTTAGATAAATGCAGTTTTCAGGTAATTCAATGCAGAAGAGGGTTAATTCAGCGCAAAGAAGTAACAAACCAGACTGAACAATTCCTTGAACTGTTTAGCCGGACTTTGGGCTTTTTTGCGCATTAAATATGTGAAAATATCGTTGCATATTATTGTTTTGATCGTACGCGGTTGTTTTGACCGAACGCACAAAGTCACTGGCAGGGTTTGAATAAATTATTTTTTGCACTTGATGCGCGTGCTTTGCTTCCGCATAATTATGATAAGCTATTTTGTATTTTTTCACATATATTATTAATACTTAATCACATGATTTTTCTTGTGCAATTTTGAATAAATAAGCACTTGTAAATTTTTTAAAGACCACAAATTGCACGAGCCCAACGAGCATTTGTTAGTCTTTGCAAAAAAATTAATTCATTCTTGTTTATTCAAAATTGCACTCGAAATCATGTGACTACCTATACTAATAATAATAACAATAATAATGACAATAATAATAACAATAATAAAAATAATAATGACAACAACAACAATGATAATACTTATAATAATACATGCAACAAGTCATCCGTTTTAGAGAAGAAAGTTAATCCCGTACAATTCAAACGGGGATTATTAGGGGAGGGTCACAAGCGGGAAATATGCGAGCCGTTAATTTCCTTTTGAATTATCACCCAGATTTCGTGACTACCATATACAACATGTATCTCTTTGGTTTAAATCCTAAGATATCTAAGTAGAAACATACACAGGCTTTCAAAACATATACATTTAAATGATAGTGCTACCTAATAATCTACTACTACGGCTAAAGAAAAACGTAATTTTTCACTCACATTTTTGTTTTTAGACATACGAGTGATAACGTCTTTAAGTGAAGGGAATGTCGGTCTGTCGTTTGGATTTTCCTGCCAGCACTGGACCATAATCTGGTAACTAAAGACAAGTGATAAATATAACATCTACAATAATATTAAGAATCTTAACTCCGAGATTTAGTTTTCGGATTTGGTTACATCTTGAGATCTCGCGATTTTGCTGTATAAACACAGACATCTATGATTTTTACACTGCACAAGGTATTAACTCGTTGGCATTTTCAAAGCCTACTTGGTCAAATAAAACAAATTTCAAACTTTCGATTAAACTTTTTTAAAGACATGTTTCGGCGTGACACGTGCCATCTTCAGTCCATTGTGTCGTATCCGTTTACTTAGTTTTCACACGTTACATTAAAAATTACTATATCAATTTCAATCAAATGGCAGTGTTAGAAATCACAGTACCAAACCTAAATACCAAACCATCAAATACCAAAACTTCCAAATGTTAAACTTGCGCGCGCGCATGTCTCGTTTCCGGTTAACTTACTGTAACAGTACGGATGATGGCATGAGTCATACCAAAACGTGTTGATTCAGCTGAATGGTCATAAATTAATGACAGGACATCAAACACTTATACCTCTCATTGCTATCTGTGGTAACAAGGATTAAAAACAACAGCAGCAGAACACTTACAGCTGTTCATCAACATGTTTAGGTTTTGGCATTCTGTATCCTTGCTGAAGTTTCTTTGCAATTTCGCGAGCGTTAATCGCGGGGTAAGGAGATCCACCTATGGACATAAAATGAACGCTTAAACAAAAGTAATGAGGCAAGAATAATATTCACACACGTAACTTTCTTGATATCCCAGGACTCATTGTCTTAGCACGAACCTCACTATATCATCCTCGTCAAAACGTACTTAAAAACTGCGGCAATTCTATCCCCTCTTCCCCGGTCCATACAAAATAGTGCTTTGTTTTAACGATAAAACTGTTATATATTTGCTAAATTCAGACGTACCTACAGTAAATATTTCGTACAGAACAACACCGAAACTCCACCTGCAAATGACAAAAAAGGAAAAAGCAATGAAATGCATGAGGCAGCGAAGCACTCTGAGTCAAGTAAAATATGATAATTCGCGATTTTAACTTTCTCGCTGCTTAGAAAACAGATTTTATTTTAATCAGTGGTCCCGACATCATCGGCCAAGATCTATTATGGGATTTTGCACGTAGCCTGAAGTCTTAAAAAAGAAATATGAATAAATCGAGACAGGAAAGAGGTTAAGTCTTTATATATTAATGTTTAAACATGGTTCAAGAATGAGCAACCAGCTTGGCTATCAACTTGAGTTCCTGCAAAGTATAGCTCTTTTAACTACGCAAAAAATTCAGGCTCCCTGCTGAGATAAGTTCTCAAACGACATGAGTTTCAACATCAACTGATTTTCGTCAATCTTATTTGCCAGCATCCTTTAAGGCCGCTAGACAGTCTCCATAATCATTTCTTAGAAAGCATGGTGATTCAAATGACGACAAAAAAACGCATTATCTGGGAAGCTAAACAGGAAGGAGAACTAAGCTAGTAAGAGGTATGCTTGCGATGGTTAAAGGGATACCGGTAACTTTGAGCTCATTTCTTTTCAGAATACAGCATAAAATCTTTGTGATCCCGTTTGTGGTGAACGTTTGCTCAAGTCAAACCTAAGTGCTAATCGTAACTTCACCTTAGCGAAATTTTTGTGACAAAATGAAAGTGGAAGTGAAAATAAAAAGATATTTCAATCTGCGTGCATTGTAGGACTTCTTAGAAATAAGAATGACCAAAATCCGCACCTGAAGTTGAGTCATACCCAGATGGCTATGTTTAGAGTATCTTAAAGGAGGGAATACTTACACATCACTTTGCGTTGTGTATTTTCCATATACTAAACCCTCATAGGCGGTCCACTTTACTGGCAGACGGCCCTGTTCAAATCACACAACAGAAATATTAAATCCATATCGATTTCTTCCTTCATTCAGAGGAGAATTGGTGAACTTTCCAAAGTACGATATCCTAAGTAGAAATTGATGTAAGAGCGAAAAAAACTCTTCTAAAATGGAGGCGAGTTAAAAGAGAAAAGGGAATAACTCAGTTTCCTACCCGACTTGTTTTGTTGTAGATATCATCCTGGTTAACATTCCTCGCCATTCCAAAGTCTGTCACCTTACACTTCTCTCCTTCACCAACAAGAACATTTCTGGCCGCTAAGTCACGGTGGATGATCTGACACATGGATGTAATGTAATTTAAAAAATGGAGCCATTCAGAACAGGAAAATCGGTACGTTCTGAGTTCGGTCATCCAATTGTCAAAAACCAAAAACTTTCTCTAATCGACGGCAGAGCTGGAAATTTACCATCTTTCTTTTAAATTTACTTTCACACGGCACTTTCAACATGACTGATCCTAATAGTATGCGGAACGTTGTCATAAATGAACTTAACTTGCTCACCAAAGAGTTTTCTATGGGTCGGTAGTTCGTCTACTAGTATGGAGTAAGATGGGGGACAAAATTGGCATCCTTTGTTCGTGTCGTCGATTCATACTTCGTGGAGCTATATAGTTCTCATTTCCTGTCCTTCAAACTCCCTCGTCATGTCGTCGGAAGAATTTTCTGTTTCACGTGTTATCTTCGTGGCGTGTCTGACGTCGCTTCTTAAGTCACTCCACATATCGCGGGCGTCGAAACGTAATTCGTGTCGTAGCAGTCATTGCCTGTGACCAGCGGTAAGCACGTCTTTAATGGTTATGTTGTGTATCGCCTCTTACTGGGAAAATGTCCTTTAGCACACCGAGTTCTCATTCAACTAACGTTAATTAAAGAATACCACTTTTAATGTTGTGCGAACGTTGGAAGTGTACCGGTTTCGGTAATGAGCGCATCGAAATTGACTATGCTTTGTACCAGGTGGATCATTTTCTAACGTTGTGCATTCAATGTTAAACCGTTTGGAAAGCACTGTGTTTGATCACTTTCTTGACCTCTTGATAGAGGCATATAGTTATCTGTGTTTTTGACTACACTGTACGAATGCCCGTATATTCAACTCTTTTTGCTTTCCTCTTTGAATATTTGTGTGAATCAACTAATAGATTCTAACGACAACTTCTGGCTTGAGCTTAAGCTCTTTTTTGAATTGCAGTAATATGCAACACAACTAAAGAAAATTTCTCAAGGTAGATTTCATACTGTACATTCAGGAATTCCTGAATGCCAACTTTCTGTTGAGGATATCTTAAAATTAATTACCGGTTGTCAGCAAAAACCAGCCCTTGGCTTCCAAACACCCATCATGCTCTCTTTTGTTTTTGAATGTCCAGAAAACTGCAAATGTCGGCCAAGTGCTTCAACTTGTGACTTGCATTTGCATTTGCCTCATCATATCAACTCCCTTGAATCAATGACCAAGGCTGGTATCTCAATGCTAAAGGAGTGTTTTGGTTTTGGTATTGTCTAGGCTTTGTTTCATTGGATACAGCAGATGAAGGCATTCAAAACAAAATATTTATGTTATTGAAGGCTGTAAAACTGCCTCGCTTGTTTTTCAAATTTTGCATGTTCTTGACTTGTGAATAAGAGGTACACATCACTGCTGTGTTGTTCAAGTTATGAAATTGATAGTCAACGACTACCACAATAATATCTCTCCCCATATATGATGAAAAATATGTATATTCATCGGCCTGATTGCTGAAATTAAAACAGTTTCAGAGGCCATATAGATTTTGGACCCCGCCAAGCATGCATTGTGGAGAATGCTAGAACTGTTAACTATTAATGAAACTAGTTACATTATTACTTTTATTTAGTTCTGTTGCAGTTAATTTGAATTTGTGATGAACATCAAAATAATGTTTACACAAGGTAAGGATAAAAGGAAGAATGAGTTTGCGGAATGGCATGACGGGTGGAATGGCGTAATTTTTGTGGAGTATGCCATCCTAACTTTGCCTTTACCTCTAACCCTAGCCCTAACCCTAATCCTAATGTTCAAAAGTTCTAAGTTTAGGGCTAGGTTGTGATACTAGACTGCCGACAAATTTTACCATTTCACGTACTCATTCCACCTTTGATCATACTAGTGTATACGCATAGCTTATTTAGTTGTTTCACTCATTTCATCTCCAAAATTTGTTCTGTTTTCTTGCTTAATAATTGTTATATTTCAAACTCTTTTCAGCGAGCAGAAATTCTATTCTTGTACTCGATTTTGTAAAAAACAAGCCATGAATAATCTCTACAGCTTTGATGTTAAGGTCTAGTCCATGACAATCAGATCGATCAAGTGGGTTAACTTGTGATTTAAAAAGATTGAAAGACTCTCTAGGTAAGGGTCATGGTATTTCTGGAACTTCAATCGTCCCCTCTTTCCATGTTTCCCTAACATATTCTTCATAAGGTGGAGGATCATGAAAATCAATTCAATAGGATAAAGTTTCTCTATCAGGTACATCCTCGTCCAAATAATACACCATACGTCCAGAGTTGAGCAGGTGTCATGTTTGATTTAGATCTGAGAGGATGGTTGTCAAAGCCATCTTAAAACAAGGATAGTTGCAAGTGTATTCAAGGCAAATATACATAATGCAAGCAATATAAGTGCCTTTCCAAACGATTTAACGTTGAATGCCCAACGTTAGAAAATGATCCATCTAGTACAAAGCATAATCAATTTCGTTGCGGTCATTACTGAAACAGTACACTTTCGAGCGTTCAAGAAACATTAGAAATGGCATTCTTAATAAAAAGAGTTAAAGTTAGTTGAATGATAACTCAGTGTGCTGAAGGACATTTTCACAGAAAGAGACGATACACAACATAACGATTAAAAACGTGCTTACCGCTGATCACAAGCAGTGACTGCTACGACACGAATTACTTTTCGACGACACAAATTACCTTTCGACCCCACGAAATGTGGAGTGACTCAAGAAACGAAATTAGACAAGCCACGAAGATAACACGAGAAACAGAAACATCTGACGACATGACGAGGAGGTTTGGGGGACAGGAAATGAGAATTACATAGCTCCGATCTAACTCCATACATTAGATGCGATAGAGGACTTGGATTTCTTTCTAAGTCTTACGCTTGCGACGAAAGGAATAATATTTTCTTTACATGTTGTTTTTCCCTTTTTTGCACTGGGGAAGAGGGGAGTGAAACAAGTACGTGCCCGTATGGGTTATCATTGTGCACAACAATTCAGCCTTGATAAACATGACAAACCAGGTAATTTCGCCATAATCCGAGAATTTGTGGTTCATTAGCATCGAAGGGTTACTTTTACCTTCCAAATCATCCTTCAGAGCAAAGTTTTGCTACGACCTAACACTTTTTCAGAGTGGAAAACAAGGTGCTACACTGACACACGCTTCGTGAATACCTTGTTAGCAGAAAGGAAGTTCATTCCATCAGCAATCTGCAGGGCAAATTGTATCAGTTGCTCTGAGGTTAGGTTGGTCTCAGGTTTAACATCCGGATCTTTAAAGTATGTGTCATTTAGGCCGCGACTCTTCCTTAGGTAACCCAACAGATCACCATAAGGTATGTATTCAATCAGAACAAGCAAAGGATCTGCAAAATAACCCTTTGTTTCAACATGAAACTTAACTAAAATTCAGATTTGACGGAACAAACGAAAGTGTCATCAATATCTCTTTCCTATTTTACCAGTTTTAGTGACGCATCCCATCAGTTTAATGACATGAGGATGAGGCCTTAGTTTCTTCATCAAATCCAGCTCTGACAGTAGATCTTTCTTGTCATTATCCGGGGCATTTTCTATCAAAAATAAAGAAAAACATTGCCATTACACATAAGCATGTGAGAAGGTTTGAGACTTGTAGTTGCATAGAATACAATGTGCTCATACGAAATGTTCTCATACGAATAAGGAATGCCACTCTTAGAGTACGCAACAAACTATCCCAACAGGAAAGAGCCGCTTTGCCATGTATGTTTTTCAAAGTTCGCTTTTTTCCTTGTAAAAATTGTTGATTTATTGATAATCTGTTCTGTAATTACGATTTAAATGATAGGTACCAACTACTTGTCTCCGCAACATACCTTTCAGCATTTTAACTGCCACTGTTGTTACTCCCTTTATTCCATTAATATCTGATACAGTTGCCTTAGCAACCTGACAGAAAGCACCCTTTCCAATAACTCTCGAGATTTGAACATTTTCCCGTTTTACTTCCCATTTCTTGAACTTTGTTGTTATTCCCTTAATGGACATATACTCAGAGTCCATTTGATGTCTTCTGCTCGGTACTGCGTTACTTGATGGCGACGATTGAATAACTACCGTTTCCTCTTCGCTCAAAATCAGACGTTCGGAGATATTCACGTATGCTTCACTGGCTTGAACTGGGTTCCCTTGATCCTAAAAGCGAAGTGAAAAAAATGACGAAAACCAAATGCAACGGTGACTGTAACGAAACACCTGACAAGTGATCATGAAGTCTGATAACAACAAGGCACTTCATCTCTTTCCATCGAAAATTCTCCATATTTACCTGATTATCCGTAGCATTTTTGCGATGATAACGGCAACTGAAAAAAATCCAGAATGAACATGTTGTATATAAATATGGGCAGCATAGTGGTAGAACTTGACGCGGAGTCGTTACCTTCTTAAAAGTAATAACAATACCCAGCACTAATCAAAATGAGGGGCCAAACAACCAAAACGAACTTAAAAAAATTCATTTTAGCCGTAATGAAAACTAACATTATGCGAGATACCTGGGCGATCAAGTCCATAGATAGTAACTGAGTGAAAAATGTACCTCGATGTAAATTACTTTCAATTTGAGTTAGCCAGAAAGTTCGAACTGATAGAAGTCGAGTGAGCGATATTCCACTACATGAACAAATCCTCGAGTGAAGCTTTACACGTTATTTAGTTCATTCCAATTGGGAATACATAAGCAAAGTAAATTTTCAAATACTGAAAATATTACACATGCCCCCTGACACTTTATGGTACAATCTGATTTCTTGCTCACAACAAACAATAAACCAATTCAATTTCAAATTTCTGCCCAAAAATTCCAACTTTTTTACTCTAATCCAACCGTCCGCGTTGTTTGAGATTATCTAATGAGCTCTCTCCGTCAGTGAGCATGCTCAGCGAGATGTTTGCAAATATATGATTGCATCTAGAAACTACAAAACACCATGATACAAACATAATACTGTCTGTACCTACCTCGCATTTTCAGTCGAAGGACCTACGAAACAAAAAAAATCAGTATCCTAAATTTATCCATTACTGAAGCAAAACGGGTAGCAGACTATTTCTCTTCAAGTCTACTTAAAAAAGACAGCCCTAAGGTCTCGGATACCTCTGTGACCTGAATTTTTAAATAACCTCAAAAGGCTTTTTCATCAGTAATGTATTACGTTTGTCACATGCTAACTTATTTAACTGAGGTAAACAAAAACCAATAAAATCAGAGAACAAGAAACCAAACACTGAAGGAGTTCACCAAACAAATCACACAACAGCACACTTCAAAGCGTATAAAGGAGTACCTGGATTATTACGCCTCCTCCATAGCAAGATAACGACCACAAAGAAAATCACCAAAAGGACAAAAATGACACTTGAATACACAACATGAAGAATGGTTCCCTCCTTGAGCCAATCGAAACCTAACAAATTAACGATCTATTTTAAATAAAGCGACGTTTATGGTTGTTCATGCCACACATATTGCAGTGGAATTGTACTTAAGGTGTTACAGCCTAAGAAAATATCTGTATTCTATATCTGTATTCTCTTATCAATGAAAAATGTTTATATATGCCTAAAGATGAATTCTCTAAAACGCAACGTAATATTAACCAAAGAGAATAGGCATTGATGCGCATTTAATCAGGTAGCACGGCATGAAAAGCCTACTTGAGTGCAGCGGCTTTTAAAACTGAAAAACCGAAAAAATGACACAAAATATCACTCACCTGCTTTCGAAGTTTCCGTCTGATTTTCTACAGAACAAAGACAGTAACCATTAACTATAAGCTTTAACTTTTCTGATGGTAATTGTAGAAAGTCTTGTTTCCTAAGGACAGGTTCTCGATAATTCGTGGTGAAAAAAAATTGTCACTTATCTTAAAATAGCTTTGCGTCTTCCTTATTTCAAAAAGGTATATCAGTTTGCTTGGTTTCGTTTCGGTCTTTCTTTTTAACTTGTAGCTCTGTTCGTTTATATCTTGTTTGACAGTCAAATTTTAAAAAGCTTTCTAGAAAAGGAAGTGTAGAAGCTTCGTACGTTCTCGTCTAGAATGACAACTCTTTGCTTGTTTTTGGATACGAGTACGCCACAGTTAATGCACTTGGATACAGCTAGCACACCTGGCAAACTCTACTAACCGACTAACCTAGAAAACTAAAAAGGTTTTAAGGGAGTATTATTGTGTACTTGTTGTTGTAGCTGGATCCTTTGGATTCACATCCAATACAGCATTGACTTTGAGAGAAGACAATTTTCCATCCGAAATTTCATCTTGGATTGGTTTCAAAGGATCAATCGCCCCTTTTCCAAACATAAGCCTAACAATGGCAACGACACTACCAGGCCTAAAACCGAATTAAAAAGGAAATAAGAATACGATTTCTATGCCTAACAGAGCGATATAACGTTAAAGTTCCTTTATGGAAAACCGGTCCAAGAACATAAGAGAATATACCAACCTAAATTCCACAACTGTCACCTTGTAAAGCTCCTTTCTAGACTGTTGCGCGTAAACATTCCAGATCTAAAGACACAGAATGGATTATTATTCAAGTTGTGTGTTGACAGATACAGCAACGAGAACCTTGTCTAATAGAAGAGTGAATGATATAGAAATGTATTAAAGGAAGATTTATTTGCAATGAGCAGCTATTAAAGTGACTGAGGTAATACTGTATTCCATCAATTGCACAAGAGTACCTTTATAAACATGCACAAGTTTATCTATCGTGTCTTCACAGCCAACCTAATCAAAGCGAGATAAGTTCACACCCAAATTTCAATGCCGCCAAAAACTTTTGTTTCCCCACCTCTAGCTTAGCCTCGATCGGTCTACTTCTTGGCAGCGTATTGGGATGTCATCTACTGATTTCCCCAAAGAAGCTTCTTCAGGTGAGACTCTAGACTAGAAACAGCCCCACTTTCCCAGCTGGAATCCCGCAAGTGTCAAAAGCAAGAAGGGAAATGACTGAATCGACACAGACGTAACTTAATGACTTCTTTCCTATGAATCATGCAATCAGCTACTGATCCGAGAAAGAGAGGTAGCTCATGGTTTAAGAAAGACTTCGCATCGAACGCTATGACCATGAAATGACGTTCAAACCTTTCTTTAGTGGGTTTGATGATAACGTTTACGGGATCGCTAAAAAGACGTTATGCCTAACCTCTATATCGTTTACTTCGTACTCACTGCGGACAAAATGTTATATTCCAAGGTCTTGAACTCAATAGAATCCCGGTTTAATAAAGACTGCGTCCACGTTTCATTTGTGAGCGTTAGTCCAACTTTGCGAGGCTCACATTTTTCACCACCTGTCACACAAAAATTGCAAAAATTTACATATTGTATCTATGTCGAGATAGAGTATGAGCGTTTCCATTTCTTTTCAAAACATTATTGCATAAATTCCCCAATAGCCATTTCATAGATTTCTTAGAGTTCATCGAAAGTATTAATAATACATTGATTACCGAGACAGGAAGTCACAAAATTGCAAAAAAGCAATGTATCTATTAAATAAGACGATCTCTTGCCGCGCCACGATGGAACACAACATGACCGAAGTAGCTCAGAAACCATCATTATTTCTATAAATTTTAACAGTTACGCCAGTTTGCTTATATTTTTCGTTATTCCTGTTTCGTTCTGTTTGTTTTTGAAAACGAAACTATATACACTTTACGTAAGCTTACAATCTCACCGAGCGTAAAAACTTTAAAACTTGGACAGTCTATTTCATTTCTCCTTTGATGATTTTCGTCGCTACTCACGTTATAATAACGTCAATTACGGCTTGGGATGTTTAAAAACCATTTTTAGGTTCTCCTGTTGCTACTTGCCGGCTAACGAAAAAAAAGCCGGAGAGAAGTCCAAGTGATGGTCGGACACTCCACAAATTGGCAGATGGCGTGATAGCTTTCGCCCAGCTCCGTGTTTTGCACTCTGATAACAAGCTCTTTCAACTAATGAAAGCGTGTGCTATATCCGAACCTTATCATAAAAGGAGATATTCCATGATGTGATTTGTTCGTATGTCGTGAACAATGTAAACCAAAATACACAGAAGTTCCGTCGCATCAACTAGCATCACTAAGACTTTTAGCCTCCTGAGCACAAACGAAATAAGACACTTACATATAATGCTGACTATGGTGAGACTGGTAGCATTGTTTCCATATCCATTACCAGCTGTACACCTGTATAATCCTGCACTCATTCTGCTCACATTAACAAGTCGCAGAAAGTTGCCGGTACCAATAGATTCAATCGCTGAGAAACCCTCTCTAGTCCAAGTGATGTTGGGTGTTGGGTCACCAGATGCGTAGCATACCAAGACGAAATCATCTCCAATTTTGATCTCTGCCTCTCTAACTGAAGGAAGGATTATTCTCGGCGGTACTAAATATGACACCAAAAACTGTTTAGTCTATGAAATAAATGTGTGGCGTGTCCGCATCTAAATAAATTTAGAGGAGACGGAAAGGTGAGCTTTGGATTTATTAAAACGTATATCAGGATTCTTCAAAAATTCTGCCCCAGTCATGTCCACTAAGGAGGCACTTTTTTGTATGTGAAATGAGAACCTCCGATTCAAGGGGGAAACGAAGAAATGAGGGGAAGATACAAAGGAGATTTTTTCTAAGACCATTTTGTAAGAAGAAGAAAAATGATAATCCCATCTCAACGCAAAGGCTAAAAACACACTAAGGAACGATGTGAAACATATCCCAACTTAATTGGTAGAGCAATGAATTGGGTTTTACATCAGTTCTCACGTTTTACGTCGACTCTGCTAACACTTGTTGCATCACTGCCGTATCCGTTACTGGCTGTACATTTGTACGATCCTGAATCCTCGCTCTGTACGTCAGTAAGACGAAACTGATGAAAGGCGTCACTAGAGAAGCTCATTGGGACGCCATCTTTGGTCCAGGTGATATTCGGTTGGGGATCACCGGAGGCATTACATGTTAGCGTTAAATCTTTTCCAGCCTCTACATGTACCCTCTCGATAGGCGCGTTGGTAATACTTGGAGGGGCTGATAATGAAGGGAGTAAAAGCAAAATGAACACAAATATCTACTCTCTCAGTAAATGCACACAAGAGTACCAGAACACGGGAAGAATATTCTTCAGCGAGAGTTAGCAGAGAAAAGGGCTTTTGAGTGCGCTTAGGAGACAAAGGTTGATGCATAATTAAATAAGTAAAGAAATAAAATTTAGCGGGCAGTCAAAAAAACGCAAGAAAGAGGCGGTTAGACGTTTCCTTTTTTTTCCTTTTCTGTCTTTATTGAAGCAACCTTCATCCGGCTTTCAAGGAATAACCGATTTCGTCTCAAATTGTCAGAGATGGTATTCATTACAGCTGATTATGGGCATCAGGAATTATGGTGTGGTCGTTTTAGTTGTTCCTGCTTTTATTTTTTCGATTTCACCACACTCGAATTTTTTTTTCTTAGCGTCGAGACATAAAGCACATCTGGAAAAAGACAGATGCAGCATACAAGTATAGCATAATCATACGAAGAAACCTTACTGCTTCCGTTATAGTATTATCATGATATTTCTTCTTCGCTAATAGCTTTCGTTGGGCTGAAGATGAAATTCGTCATCATGCGAACGTCGCTATGAATCGCCTTTTATTTTGAGGTTTTATCATTTTTTAACATCATTGGGGGTATGAAATAAAATCTGGCTACCGATCCTAATTTCTTTTCTTTCAGCATACTAAAATTGGAAACCATGACTAAATTCCAAAAAACAAACAAACAAGCAAACAATTAAGTTCCAACTGGTGGACTGGAATTGAGCAACAGGCATAACTGAAGACTTCCTTTCCATTACCCTAAAAGTGTTAACTCTATTTAAAGTTGATGTTGTAAACAGACCCAAAACAAGATATGCTTACTAATCTCTCTAAAATGTTTTTGGTGCTCTTGGTTGATAAAAAATCATAGAGGCGCCGAGGCACTCGGCACACAAACTCCAAATTAAAGCAGCAAATAGCTCTGTAAAGTTTGGAAACAATTAAAATTGCAGGGATTATTATTGAGTTAATTTTAGTACATGAACTTAGAAAGTTCTCAAAATAAAAAAAAGAAAACACTACTGACGCAAACCTCTGACGTGTGTTCTACTTTGCAGTATATTTATAGTTCAACGCAATGGGAAAATCTACATTCCATCTCATCCACGTCATTCAAAAAAATATTTAATGTCCAATATCAGGAAACATCACTTATATATATTCCCTCTGAGTTAGATATTTACTATGTTGCTATAACATCCACAGCTAATATTCACTGATTTCTCCTGTGACGCTACGGTTTTCCCTTGTTGCGGTTTAACCCTCGATCAAGAAGCGTAACAACTGCACTTTATTATCTCTAACGAAACCCTGCAATTGATGTGGTACGAATACCTAGAAATATAGACATACGTTCTTAATTTTATCTCTGAAGACTTAAAAACAGCCACTTCAACCGCATGAGTAACAAGGATAGTGGTTTCATACTCACCAAACACGCGAACACGAACGTCTGTTTTCGTCCGACCGTTGCCAATACCATCAGAATAAAATATCTCAAGACAGTATACGTAATCATCTGTTCTTCTCACGTTTTTTAAGACTAGGGTTGCCGGAGATTTTGCATTGTAGAATACTCTAAATTTACCATCTACACTGAGAGAGGAATTAGCGTCCGGTCTCGTAGCTATTGTTGTTACTTGATTTCCATCGGGTCTCCTTCTTCCGATGGTAATTTTCTGCAAATTTTCGCTAGAATCAAGAGTGAATTTCCAAACAAGTAGAACTCTTCCACTGTTCGATCCTTCCACAACGTCTGTTGGATTGCGCGGTTTGGTTGTAATCGTAACGGACCCTGAAATGATATCAGGTAAAGAAACAATACATCCATGCTGAATGCTAAAGGCATTAAACTACTATTAAAACCATTTGCTTTAACGGCAACCTTAATTATTTTGAAAACATATTGATAAACGACCACAGAGAACTTCTCATGAATTAAAATGGAACTTGAGGTATATGAAATAGATACGTACGAGTTTGTGGTGGATTTAGAACTATTAGGAGTAAGGCAAAACCAAAACAGCCTCGAAACACGATTATTGAAGTTTCCAACATCTTTTGCCGCGAAGGTTAAAAGCAAATAAATTACACGTTCAGTTGTGAGGTTGAAAAAATCGCTCATGCGTGGCCACATGTCAGGATGAAAAAATCAATTTTAAGCTCCAATTGACATAATTCAAACAAACATTCCAATATCGGACTAAAATTGAAATAAATGTTTTTGCGATTATATCTACGGGTATGATGTTTGATGCTCATACAATTAATTAGAAGGTGCGATTTAGTTTGTGGATTTTGTTAAATGCTCAAATGGTAAGTAAAATCGTTTTGACTATTGGATAGTAGTTAAGCGGAACATATTAGGATGTACGCAAGCAAGGACATCATTAAAAATATAGCATGCTAACGACAGCATATGATTGGCTCGGGGATTCTAGTACACTCAATTCGACGTCAAAAAAAGCCAAGTCCGTCAATTTATGCAAACTAAAAAGTCTTCATCGTGATCCCTGGCTGTGTTTCCCGTATGGTGTCCCGCCGATATCACACCTTTTTTAAACCTCAAAATAAAATCAACTTAATCTACTGTGGAAATAGTCAATCCTACTCAAGTTTGGTGACGTTTTTATCGTTTTCTACCCTGTATTCTCTTTAAAAGGCGGTTCATTTCCAAACAAATATGTGTTTTGAAGTTTAAATCAATTACTTTAATTACACGCCAGTAAACGTAACTAAGTGTAAATGGTTTATGGCTAGTTAAGGATAAAAAAGAGAAGATTCTCAACAAAGAAAGAATCCTGGGAGGACTTCGAGAACCCAGCTAGCATGAAAAAGTAGGAAGGCAGGAGTGCGAACTGTTCTCAATGATATCCTCGTCTAATGAATGTCGCCGCGGCATCTGGACGTTTAAGGAAATATGAGCCATTAGACAAAACAGATTTTGGGCCGTTTGAAGAGTTCGAAGAGCTTTGCCTATAAAACATAAAAGAAGCCCTGAAAGATGTTACACCACTCCGAGTAGATCGTGCGATATTCTCGCATCGCAGTAAGGTCCGTCTTGTGCTTAACTCGAACAGATTGAGAGTCGCAAAGTATTGTTCATCCGATTTCTCGATCCAAAAGAAAATACTGATCGCATATTTGGTCCCCAAGAAGCGCCATCCTTTAGAACGCGATAAAACACGGAAAGTTAAGCCGTTCACGGTAGCTCGAATACATACATCTATGCATACATAACCTTTATTTCTGTGTTTAGTCCTTAGCTCACAGTTCCGGAAACGGAACTGAAAGAAGAAGGACTGAAGTTTTCAGAACTTTCGTTGTTTCTCTAGCACTTTTCATGTCATTTCCGTTACTAGTTTACACTTTATTTTTAACTCCTAGCTAATCCGACAGAAGAGGTTTGAGGAAAGAACTTGAAACAATGAAACAGCTGAAACCACATCCTTACGTGATCAAACTTCTGGGATGCATTACCGAGTCAGGTATGCTTTGGTTGTGGCGGTTTAATTTTGCCATACGCATTTTCCTTACAATTAACTCCGTAAGACTATCTAACCGGTGATAATTTTGCTTCAGGTTTTTGGGACAATTTTTTCGGTGTTGAGCCATTATTGGAATACATTCGAATACAAAAAAATCTGTAAGCATAGTTGACCGCACTAATTTTTTTTTTCTGGGTTAAAAAAGAGGAATCGAGAAAGTAGAGACAATGTTTCCGACTGAACTGACCAGTCTGATGTACAAGTTCTATCGCTTACTGATAGACTACAATTGGTCTATACCCTCTTAAGAGACCGTAACTCAATTTTCCGGCCGTTTTTCTCAATTCTAAAGCGTACTGACTGTGTTTTTTCATTTAACTTGCTTAATTTCTGCAGAGCCGCTGTTGGTTTTAAATGAATATGTGCCTTTTGGGGATCTGCTGGATTACCAGAGAAAGAACTGTGGATTAAATAAAACTTACTACAAAGACCCGAATATCAAACCGCAAACAAATTTGACGTCACAGCAGCTCATAAAATTTGCTTGGCAAATTACCGATGGAATGAGTTACCTGACTTCACAGTTTGTGAGTTGAACAAAAAAAGAAACAATAAAACAAACATCAGTCAAAATTTTGTCATAATATATCCTTTTAAGGCGTAGCGTCTTGATAGGATTATTTTTTGCTGTATATTTCATCTCTCTAAACGATTATGCGTGAGAGGTGCGAATGTATGCGTAACGCCTGCAGGGCAGCCCTCCTATTTTTTACGCTATCACCCATTTCTTTTCTTGTCTTAAGTTAGGTTCGACAATCCTTGTGCACCATTGCAGGTTACCTTATCCGGCTCGACTTAAACTGTTTTCGTCTCCCCTCACACCATTTCGGTTGTTGATTTTCATTTACTACTTCAAAGATGATCGAAATAATGCTTTCCGGGTTTGTACTGTATAGACATAAAGAAGGACGTTGAACTTATTTTAACATGTTCACCATAAACACAACCAATACCAATTAAGTACCAAAACAGAAGAGGAATGGGTTCCAAAAACCGCTCACAATATGGATTTCTTTCATCATCGTAATGAGACCGTTCAATGAAATGTCTACGTTTTGAATCAATAAAGAAGTTGTTTTCCCCGCTGCAAACGTTGTAGTGACAACTTACACTTTTTACCACCGAGAAAATTGGGAACACGCATGACATTATGTTTGCTAGACATTTCCATTTTGGTATCTGAACCTTTTTCCAGTTCTTTTTCCCCTATTTACTTATTTTCACTTGTGTATTGTCAATTATTTTCTAAATCATCCACCGAGACCTTGCAACCCGTAATGTGTTGGTAGGGCAAAATGAAACATGTAAAGTAACAGATTTTGGGATGGTCAGAGATGTGCAGCAGGAGAATATTTATGAACGGAAAACAAAGGTTATAGAAAGATGAGAGGGTATATGGTTACATGATATTCAGCATAATTTTTTTCCACAGTCTTTGAGGTGGTGAAGTTGACATATTCATGTTTTCCGTCTCAATACACCAAAGAGTATAAATCAACTTCTGCTGAAATCTTTAGGGTCGTCTTCCACTAAAGTGGACAGCTTATGAGGCCTTGTTGTATAGTGAATATACCACTAAAAGTGACGTATAAGTACATCTCATCGTTTCTCTTGGCGATGAATTCTCTCGCCTCTTCGCAGTTGGAGCTATGGAGTTGTCCTTTACGAGATTTTTACCATAGGTAACTTCTTGTGGAATTTGTTGACTCTTTGATGATGCTTTACTCATAGATTGTTTTGTTAAATTATTCAAATTATTTTATGAAATTAATCAATACAATCTATCTAGATGGACAAAATGAATTGATCTTTTCTGCGGAAATCTAACCTTCGCCAAATGAAACAGGAGGCACAGCGTCGAATTTCACTCTCAAGAACAGTGTGATTCCCAAGTAATTCTTTTTCAGGCAGTTTGCCTTATCTACGAATGGATAGAAGAAAAATTGCAAACTTACTCCAGCAGGGATACAGAATGCTCAAACCAAAACACGTGGATGATAAGTCGTAAGCTTACTTTCCTGTTTTCAGCTTGATCCGTACCATAAGAATCCTGGGCAGCTATTCCCCATAAATGGTGGTCTTATTAAAGATATATCAATTTCAGGTACTAGATCATGACGAGCAGCTGGCAAAATGATCCGGATGTGAGACCAACATTCACTGATTTAAGAAATCATGATGAACATAATAACCTATGTCTTTGCTTTCATGTAAGAGAGAATGAAAGCTTAGCTGCGTGCTCTCTCCAAATTAGTAATGATTTATTCAGATGTCCGAAGAGCACCTATTGATCTCTATTTATTGGTATAATACCTGTTTCTTTTGTGTCGTGTCACAAGGGTTCCACGACAGGAATTTTTGATAATCCTCTCTCTCGGGTGTTATTCTCCATCGAGTCTCTTAAAATAAGCAAATCAAAAATTTCAGATGACAACTGTTTATGCTGGTTGAATAATAACGGATTGGATGATTGTGAAAAATTCACAGTAAAGTTTAAGTGAAACAGCATGTCAAATGCTTTGCAGCTGTCAATAGTATACTTTACCTAATTCTAATATTGAGCTTATTTTGATTAATTCTCATGACGTAACTGTGGAAACCATCCAATTTCACATTTTCCCCACATTTTATTTTTTTATGCAGAAGCTGATCAACATGAAAATGTACGACAACCAGTTGTATCCAAACGTCGAGGATTTACCAGTGTAGTCGAGCACACGTTGTCATTGTTTGATTGGCTGTTAGAGTGCTTTGCCACAAACGTTCAGGGAATTGATCACTATGTTCAGAGAGCTCACAAGGTTGGAGAAGTCAGTCGTTATTTTTTAATTCTGGTTCAAAGCCCATTCATTTTCAATAACTTCTATTTGAAGCGAAATATTATCAAAAGTTGCACTTTCCCAATCATTACATACTTTTTATTTATTCCTTAACATATGAAGTACAGAAGGCGTGCTCGCTTTAAAACTTTGTGTCCTGGGTTCCATACCCAGCACCATTCTGAGAGGTAGGGAGCCTTTAGTTAGTGAAATTAGTTCACACGCCTCGATATCTGCTTATTGTAACAATACCTTTTAGAAAAAGAATCCATTAATTTAGATTGATGGGATGCCGCTCTGAACGCCACGGTTGTTTGAAATAATAAGAAAATAGAAAAAAATTGGCTGAGTGCCTTCATGCCATATAAAGTCAGCTGTGTACAAAGTATAAGTTTTATTACGCGGTTTGATTTTCACAAATATTCTTCACCCGTTTCTTCTGTAAAAAAAGTAAAAAAAAAAGCCAAATAGTTATGAAATTTACTGAAGCTTATTTTCAATCAAACTAGTCTTACAGCTGAACGTATTTTATCCTTCCGGTCAGGAAAAACTCCCTTTTTATCTGAGGAGGAAACCTGAACCCTTCCGAATGCAGACACTGAACATAAACCTCCAGAGAGGGAGGTTGAACTAAAGTATATAAATACAAACTGTAGATAAATTACGCACCACCTACAATCACATTGAAATAAGTGCAAAGAAAATTGGTGTAAATTAAAAGAAATGTATTGTAGAATACAAAAAAAAAAGCAGCGATGTCAGCGTAGAGATATTTGCCCAGTAAAATCCCGCCATTCTATTCCCACGTGTACATGGCCTCTAAAAAAGTTAGAACTGTGAAAACAATGATTTGCCCCTATTCTTAGAACTGCAGCAAAGGTCACCTTACAATTTTTTCTTCGTTGCTTATCGGCTGCATGCCTGTCAGTGCCCTGATGAAATCATAGCCACGCTTTTCAGTGATAATGAAAGGAACTCCATCTTGTGTGACCCTTGGTTGGAACATTGCAGTCTGGGAATCTTAAAAAAATTTCTCTGTGACAAATAAAAAGGACATTGAAGAGACATTTATTCATTCAGTCATTCATTTATTAATTTTGTCTGGTAGTCAGTCAATCAGTCAATAAGTCTGTGAGGGAGGCATGTGCTTTAGGTATTGACTTTTGCATCAGATCGAAACCACATATAAACCCTTCTCCTTTCAGGCTAGCTATCACATTGAAGCTATTGAAGTTCAATAGTGCTTTTATGTTTTATTCTGTTCCATTTTTTCCAGTTTTTGCACACACACACACACATACACAAAAACAACAACAACAACTACAACAACAAAGTAAGAGAATTACACACCTTCCTTAAAAATCAAAATAAAGAGTAGATTTTATTTGCAGTTTTATGAAATGCTACAATAGGAAATTTTTGGATCCCCCTCCCCTCTTGGTCTCCCTTATACCCCTACACCCCTGCATCCCTCCACTTAACATTCCCTCTCGTAACCAGAGTTCATCTGAGGCGCCTCTGACATTAGACTTACCTTTACCAACACCGTAGCTGTAATACATAACAAAGCTAGTTGTTGTTTCCATTTCATGATCGTACAGTAGCTTCACGGCTGATTTTACTTCGGCACAAGACTGAAAGTCTTAGAGACGACATGGTTCGAAGATACACGAAGAAGCTGATACCAAGATAAAGGTAATCTTGAGGAAAATTACTCTTTTAAAAATTGATTCGATTTGATTTTCCCGCACTTCTTGTCATGTACTGACTGAGTTTGCGCGTCTGGATTGCGTAATTATCTTGCTTGTGATCCGCTTGACTTCCGTTTCCGGCCCCAGGAATACGGCCCCACAGAGATAGATGAGCGGAACCCAACCTTGATTATAGGTTGTGGCCCTTGGAAAAGAATCCACTGTTGATAAACAGGAAAGAGGAGTTGAAGACTGTTACAAGCTATTTTTTATTTGCGTGACTTTAATTTAGCTTCATACGCGCGCGTGATTGATATCGGTGCCATCGAGTCACGCTCATTCGACACGTTCGCAAGTTTCACGCATAGTTTATTCTGAATGGAACGTTTCGCCACAAGGAAAGTTCCTACAATTCATGCAAATGTCCCAAGTGTATAGGTTAGATCGAGTTTTTTTTCCATAAATTGCACCATCCGCCATGTTGTCTGAGCAATTTTGCCGACTACGGCCGACAAGTTCACGAGGGTGATCGTGACATTCGGTCCCAGCCTCAAAACGAAGAGGGGCCTTCTCTCCTATCCCTTCAAGGAACTTCTGTAAGATTTCGGGACAACCTTCCTTATTGAAGCATCAGCGAAAGTCTAATAAGATGGTGTCTTTCCGGGATTATGAAATGAACTTACTCTTTCTTCTGCTGGTAAAGTTTCACGGGTCAGGTAATTGTGAAATTTTTTCTCCCACACAAAGGATTTTACAGTGTTTTTTACCGTGTGCCATTTTTAAGCTTAGACACCAAAGACGCCGACCCTTTATTTCTGAACGTGATGTTTGTCAAAATGATTTCCGAACTCCAAGGTGGCTTTCAGCAGTTTTTGTATTTCAAATTTAAGATACGTTGTTGGGATTTCAATCCCGTGATGAATGAAGTCTGAATAACCATGATGCGATAGAAATCAAGGGCAAAGAATCTTATGCTTCAAGTGTAACAATACCATACGTTCAGAATTTAACATCAAAATTGAAACTGAGAAGTGCACTATTTTCTTGATTAGTGTGAGTCGTATTCTTAGCCATGAGGAAAGTTACCGCTTTGTTAGGTGGCTTTCCATTACAAACATGATGGCTATGCAAACCCAGGAAAGAGTTGCCATCTGTACCTAAAGTTTTTTCCTTGCCACCCATCTCTCATCATTGGGAAGAGTTGTTAACAATTTTTCCCCTCATTATTGGTTCAAAGAATTACCTCAGCAAGGATAATTGCTGCTTGCTAAGTTGAGTGTGATTTTTTTCTCTAGACAGCAATCATGTAAAGAAACTACATAATGCACTTGGATGGATAATTGAGCATTATTTGCTCAATTACCTACATGTATGATTTGTCTACTGACTTGACCAGTTTTTAGCTTTATGCACATATGGTTGTGGTATCCCACACCAGTAGTCTTGCTATAATCACTATGTGTAGGTGATCATAGCAAGAGCACTAAATTTCAAAATGGCTTCCTCGCATTTTGTCAAATGTTTGTTAGGAAGTAATAAAAACAATAGCAGAAAATTAAACTGTGAAGAGCGCAAAAGATATTAAATGATTAGCAGATCACTTTATTAAACAAAGGGATTAATTTTTGGCTGATTTAATTAAAAAAGCCTCATAAAACTGTTGGCTTATCATGATACAGGTAAGCAACACAATTTTAACAAAATCTGGACAATGCTTTCTTTATTACAGAATTTATAACAGAATTTGAAAGCACCTGAGCAATTACTGTATACTTAAACAATTATTTGTTGAAGGGAAGGGAAGATCAATAAATCTTATTTGATAGGCAGGATGCTCGGATGTGACCATACAACTTTTCAAAAAATAGAAGTCAAAAGACTAGAAAATGAAATGAGTGGAATAATAAATCCCTCATTCAATGGTTTAACATACATATGATATGTGTGAACACTTCTACTTTCCATTTTCTGCCTTGATAAGTTCTTCTTCAAAAAATTTCTTCAAGTGTACCATTGACTTTTAAATTTTGGAAATTCACCTCTGTACACAGTTTGGATATTAAAGAAAGTGGAACTGTCAAAAATGATTGTCAAAAGGCCCAAATAGTTACACACTACTGTTGTTGAACCTTATTTTTGTGCAAATGAAAGTATATTTTGAGCTGATTGATATCAGTGAATACAAATGTAGTGCATATTTACTCTTAATGTTGTTACTGCTTACACTAAAAGTGCCTCTGTAGTGGACCCTATTTAAGCCCTTCTTCTTAAATAATAATTATCCTTACACTTGTAACTAAAGGGCTGAGAATATTATGTTTATGGTCATCTATTTTAGAGGCTGCGGATGTGCGTTTCATCAAGGAACCTTCTAATCCAAGCTACTTCAACAATGGCAGTGATGCCAACCTGGTGTGGGACTACACTGATCCACAAAATAAGATTCAGTACATTATCTATAGTGTTCTGGTAGATGGTACATTTGTCAGAATGATGGTTAATGACAGTCGTGGTGTCCAAGAACATCCTAATATTCCAATTTCTTACAAAGGAAGAGTTAAAATTGAAGGAAGAGCAACCCTGGTTATCAAGAACATCAACCCTGGAGACAATACTGAATTTAGATGTATGATATGGGGAGGAGGGAAAATTGAAAATACAGTTCAGCTTATTGTGGCAGGTACATATTACAGACATAACCATTAATAATCAAACATAAATCAAATGCATTCAACTTGTGTCTTTCACATTTCTGATATCTAGAAAAAGTAAAATTTATGGCATAAATTTGCACAAATCTTTATATGCAGGGCTGAAAATGGCTAGCTAACCCAACTTTTGGGAACAATAGTGCTACTTTTACTTGGCATGCGAGGCTCCCCAAAAAGAAGAAAATAAATTCTACCGTTTACTTTGCTGTTATCCTCATCAATAAGAATTCAAAGAGTAATTGCTTTATTCTTCTGGCACCAACTACTGGGTTGCTCTGTTATACACAGATAACTATTATTAATATGAGTACTGAGATTTTCTCTTAGCAAAGATGTCAATTAAAAATGGTCAGTCAAAACTATAGACACAATCCAACTAGTTCTATGATTTTGCTAAATCAGTGAAGGAGATTATTGCATGACCATGCAGTCACAGGCAGTATGTGAAATTAATTTGGTGTGAAAAAAATGGCATTGCTTTTCAAGTCTTTTTTGGGACTTGCCAAAGGGAACGAAAGTCGGCATTACACCTTTTGCTGCTTTCTGAGGATTATGATCTTCAAGGTTTACAGATGTAAATTTAGTCAACAGAATGGTAACTTCCTCATGTAAGTTCTGAGATTAAGGAGGAAGTCAAGACTTGGATTTGATTAATATGTGCTGGAGCAAAATTTTTAAAGTTATGCATGGAAGCAACAAACCAACAAAGTCTATAATCCAAGCTCTTTATGCTCTTTGGAAGACGTTGAGCATGCAAACAGAAAATAATTCAGTGATGATCAACTTGGCCAGGTACATGTAGGAATGCTGTTCCTGGCAGATGCTGTTATTCATGGAGGTCAGTTCAACAGCTGTAATTTTATTGCTGACTTTGGTTGCTCCACAGAGAAACTGGCTGAGTTCCGCAAAGAGCTCCAAGAAACTAAAAGTATTCAATTTCAATGTAGAGTATGAAACATTTTTGAGCTTATGCAACCTAAACTCTTCAAAAAATTTTCATGTATAAAACGAAAGCATAGTGTTCTTTGAACAGACTCTTTAATCTTCTCTCGGAGTGTTTTAACTTTCATTTTCAAACACAGTATCTTAGATGTCCTAACAACATTAAGAACATGGAAACAAGTGTGATGTTAAGTATGTAACTTCTTGGTCATTTAACTGTGATTCAAAGTTGAAAACATTTGTGATATCTCAATACTCACGTATAATTTACTTCATTGTTTTCTTGAATGATTTTATTCACTTGTTGTTAAGATTCCAAACTCACTGTTTATTGTTTTTGATCGTTTATGACTAGTGAATAGAAATTGTCATCTATTTCATCTCTACCAAAATGCTGGTTGTCGTTTACATGTAGATTGCATTTGGACAGAATTATGTCACAAGATGTTGTGGAGAAGTGTGTAAGAGACTTAGATTCTTGTCTGACTAGTTTGACAGATGTCCTGTGTGTTGTTAATAGTTTTGCATGTTTTGACCTAGTGTGTTCACCATGATCCTTTTGGCATTGAGTTTTGAAAAAATGTCATCTTTATCCTGACTATATTTCATCTTCAAATGATCAAATGCCTTTTTCTAGGTGGCATAAGGTCTTCCATGTTTAGCCAAGTAGAACACCTAACTATGGCATACATACTAAGGTTTCTGCTATGTTATTGCTGATGTCATCAATGGTTTTTGATGAGGCTAATACTCCCACGGTTTCTGCAATTTGAAGACAACTAAGAATTATTTTGTTCCTTTTGATAGGCAGCACATTTAAGCATGATTTAAAGGACATCTGCCTTCTTCTGGTCTCTTAGTTTCCTAGTCGATAATAGTTGATAATTTTTAAAGTTAAACAAAAGACTGCTACATAAATATTAATGAGTTTCTTTTGCGCACATTTTTTGTGTGCATTTGAAAAAATTGCATGCATGTGCATGGGTTTTTCAATGCGCTTTTCATGTGAATTTAGGGCCAAGTACCTCTGAGCTGTACTGTAATGCCTGCAACAGATTGAGTATGTGTTTAATTTGCTGAGTGATAACCTCTCTGTTGGGAAGTAGCAAAACGTTTTATAATACTAGTGGTCTCATATACAGTCCATTCTTAATGCTGGTAAGTATTTTGTTTTCTTTGTGTTTGACTTGGGCTTAAGAATGTTTTATTTTTGAGTATAATACTTCAACTTGTGGAGGAAGAGTCCAGAACCCTCCCTTCTGCAAACTCCCTTTGCAGAACAATCATGATGAACAATTAATCAAATTATTTAATGTTTTGTAAAAGAATGATCAGTACAAGGAGACGGGTAAGTTCTTCTTTTAACTTTAAGTAATGGGCAGGCAGCATTCAGCATGCCACTGGTATATTCTTTCTATCCGGAAGAATCTATAGTTTCTCTTTCATCAAAATTTCAGTTCTCTGGGTTGAGGATGTCTTCTGTTGATCCTTTGTCAGGCCAAGTTCCAAGTGGGGTGTGGCTGGATTGGCCCTGTTCCTATTTGTTTGTGCAACGGCAAAAATTTTATCAAAAAAAATGGGAGTAGCTTAGAAGTCAGGGTCCTCAACCCAATAAGTGACTTCCTGAATTAGCTCTTAATTCCCAAGACTGGGGCTCTGCTTTACTGAATAAAGTTTGAGCCTCTTCATACTAGTTGGTTGTGGGGGACCAATGGCTGGATACTTTTGTGTATTGTATTGTAATTGGGTAAATTTTAAAACTCAGTCCATGTAAAATTTGCTATACACCATATGAACCTCATATGGCATATAGCAAATTTTACTTGTCCTGAGGTGAGATATAATCTCTTTCAACTTTCAGAGGCACCACTTATAAACCTCTCTTCGGGAGTGAAATATTACACTGAAGGCTCCCCTGTCACCATGGCCTGTAAAGCTTCTGGGAAACCACAGCCGGATGTAGCATGGATTAGAAATGGAGAACTGAAAAGTTCAGGGAAGGAAGCTGCGTTTTTAAAGTTTGATAATATAAACAGAACGGATGCAGGACAATATACATGTCGAGCCAATAACTCAGTGGAAGTCACTTCCATTGACACAACAATTGTAGTTTACTGTAAGTATAGTTTAACCTTAATTTTTATTTCTGAATTTACTTTATTTATAGTATGAATCCTGTTATTGGGGTCAGTTACACAAAACTGACGAATCTGTACAAAAGTGTAAGGAAACAAAATTCCACCTTAAATCCTTTTCGGCTTAGTGTGCACCAGTCTCAAGTATGGGTTGAGACATTGAATATAGGTGGAATAATTTTTCACATTATTTTGCTTTGGAGGGCGTGACAATTTTCTCACCAAGTCATTGCTTCAGTTGGACTGTGTTTAACTCAGAAAATGGCTTACAGCCATTTGTGAGTCATTGTGACAACCCAAAATTTACTCCGTTTGACCAGCGCACAAGTCTAGCATATATTCTGATTCTGTGTGAGGGCTCTGGTTGGGGCTCAATGGAAATCCGAGGACTGGTCAAGATCGTCACTGTCGGCTGAGAAATTACACTTTTTTTTACTGATAGCTGAGATCAGGTAGTTGATGTCAAAATGGGCTGAAATTAAAACTGCATGCCCAAGGTTTGCGCACATATTTGCATGTGTGGCGCTCGTAGAGATATACTATTTGAGGACGAGAATCCATTTTATATTTAATTACTTGTAAGCCTTGCCACCTTATACTGAATACTCGACTGCCAAATAACACAAACTTGACGGACTGTACTATGGAGTGATCACAACCTTCACTCTTTTTTTTTATCTGAAGACAGTGAAAGGAAAGACAAATGCTGCGCCCGTGTAATTGATGTACATGGCTCTCTGGTTTGGGAGGTTGTGTTACCTGCATGCACTATGCCGTCCCACTCTGTGAGAAAATTAATGAGTGAGTTGCCAGTCATTGGATCCTTGTGTTTGCGCACAGATTTTTGGGATCGCCACGGGGCAAACATTGCAACTCACTGGAAGGAATTGCGTGGCGAAAGTTTGTTCCGACGTCCAAAAAAATGATTTTAGAGAGAGATTATCGCTTTTTCGCCGCTCCTTTATCAGAAATGGATTAGGGTAATGCTGATACAAGAGAAGAGTAAGTTTTTGTTTGAAAAACCGTGTATTATGTAGTTAAGTCTACCGATTAACTGGTCTCGAAATTTAGAAAACCTAACTATATAAATCGCCAAGAAATAACTCAACTAAGCCGTGTCAGTTTTTTGTGCGTGAGTTAAGTCTATTTCTTGCTTGGCTTAGTAATACGAAAGAGCGCTATAAAAGCTACCTTGAGGCAGCAGGAGATTGAAATGGTGTGCTGGAGCATTAAATATTAATGTGGTACATTCAAGTGATAAAATAGCTACGCTGCTTCTTTGTTTTGATCAATGAGAACGAATCAGCGTTGATGATTGGCTCAAAACTGAACCCTGTGACGATAAGTGATACAAACTGGTCTCTTAAGGGGCGACGCACAACTGATGATATGTCCACAGTCTCTGTCGGAGTTCCCGTGATCTTGTTTTTCTTGACAGGATCCTTCAGGGAGTTCGAGAAGAAAAATTGCAGCTCAAAGACCTTTGGATTTTTCTCAAACAAACTATCACTTGAACTGGGGATTTCCTCATGTTTTTTTTTCATCGCTTATTTTATCCTTTCAGTGAGCATCAGCTCGGTAAAAATAATTTCCATCTCCGCTGACAACGACTTCTCTCCTTTGAGGAAGTATATTTTCAAACGTCGTAATTTGTTTATCTAATACGTTAGCAAGTATAAAAATAGGCTGTACATGTATAAATACAACTGAAAAGACTTAAAAGAGTTATTTCCTAGCGATTTCTGGGTAATTTTGTACTACTTTGAGACCATTACGCGATGACGATTTCACAATAGACCTTATGCAAGGAGAGAAGTATTTCGTGGTAACTTCCAAGGTAACAACATTATCTTTTTCCATGTATGATAAAACTACTGCGAAAAAGCCATAATCCCTCGCCAAAATCGCTTCTTTTGGACGTCCAAACAACCTTTCACCATACGTTCCTTTATAGCGAGTTTAATGTTTGCCCCGTGGCGATCCCAGAAACCTGTGCGCAAACTCAAGGTCCGATTACTGGCAACTCATTCACAGTTTCCGTGTTTGCATATACGCAGGCATTCGACCTCTGTTGTTAGGAGCAGGTAAAAAGCAAGCATGAACGGTATGCCAATCTCTAGATTTTGAATTCACACATCAAAATTACACCAGACATGCTTTCTTGGAGTAATCCACATATATGAAACATTTCCTGTAAAGAAAAAAAACAAGCAAACAAAAACGACCAAAAATGTCCAAAATCGCAATCGCAACGAGATCGCAGCGTAAAGGTTTGTTGCTCTCACCGTTCACATTTTGGCATTAGGGTTGCACTTGTGCAAGTACAAATCTGTTGTAACTGACGTTCTGTGACAGCCTTTCTAACGTGCCATATTTAATATCTGCCTCTTTACAAGTGAAAGTGAGTTAAAACAGTAATTTCCCTTACCGCCTCTTGATTTTTGTAGAGAAATATCAGACCTTCTTCTATTTTGAAGTCCAGGAATAGTCTTATATCTATCGATGTAAGGGAATACATGTACTTGCATACTTTGAGCCATGTCATCGTACACGTAAATTTGATATTAATATTAATCTACGGACATAATCAAGATTATTATAGGAAATCATATTTCATTGGAAATGCTGAACTTTGGAACTTGTTACAATCCACTATTTTTCCTCTTTTAAGACCAGCCTAGACAGCATTTATCTCTCAAAACGAGAAACTTATAATCCTCCTGGCTGCTATTGATATATGTTTTTAGTATAATTGCTTGGGCGATTATAGAGATGCACGCACTCTGATCGGTAGAGGAGAGCGTCATATCTCGCTTTAATCACCTTGTGTGAGGTAATTATAGCAGGAGCACCAAATTTTAAAATGGCTCCCTTGCATTTTGTTAATGTCATGCTGCAAGGGACAAATGGGACAGGAGAAAATTAAGTTCTTAAGAGTGGGAAAGATGCTAATAAGCTTGGCGTGACACTTTCCAAGATATGAAATTTTTGCTGATGGAGTGAAATGAATCTGTTAAATTCTAGTGGAACCTGGCTTATCTTTATACATGTAATCCATATTATTGTAACAGAATTTGCAAAACACATTTACAACAATTTGAAAGCATTTTAGCAAGTATACTTAAAAGAGCAGTTGTTCGCCTCAGGCCCATTGAAGATTGTTGAATAACCATCTCGACGAAGTGTGCTCAGGCGTGTGGCGACTATAATGGTGCTCTGATTGGCTAAGAGTTACATCCGTACAATCAGCACACAAAGACAACCAAAGTTCGGACTCTGCGAACAGTACGATGATTTGCCGATAGTTCGACATACCGGAAGCGGAGGGGCGTGAACAATGTGTCAAAATGAGTAGCATGAAAAGAGAAATGACAACGTGAACCTTCCACGTTCTAAAAGCGTGAAACGGCCGGATTTCCATTGTCAGAATATCATATTATTTAAATGAACCTTTTTCCTTCCTAAAGCGTTAAATAGAGGCATTGAATGTTGACGAATCGACACGATTCGTAAGTGTGGATACGACTCGTCATTAGTAAAATAGATCCGTCTCACCGGAAGTCGATTCGCAAAAGAAGACAATACATACTTAAGCGTTAAATTGGGGTATTCAATATAGACGAATCGACTCCATTCGCGCGGGTCGACTCGAATTGTCATCAGTAAAGTCGTCTTACAAATCGACTTCGGGTATGACAGGTCGACATCAACTGTGACGAGTCGTTCGAATCGTGTCGATTGGACAAAATCTGCAACCCCCTTTCGCGGCTACTTGCGGAAAATTTTGGAAGTGTCTTGCAAATCGTCTTCCGGTATGACAGGTCGACATCAACTGTGACGAGTTGTTCGATTCGAGTCGAATCGAGTCGATGCGACAACACCTCTTACGAAGGGGGATATTTCTAAGTTGTCTTGCAAATCGACTTCCGGTGTGACGAGTCGACTTCAACTGAAACTAGTCGTTCGATCCGAGTCGAATCGAGTCGCAACGACCTTTGGTAATTACTCGCGGAATATTTTTTAAGTGTCTTGCAAATCGACTTCTGGTAAGACAGGTCGACTTTGACTGAAACGAGTCATTTGATTCGACAACGTTTTCATCAATCCTTGACAGTTACTTGCGAAATATTTCCAAATATTTTCGATATCAATATTTTTGCAAATTGACTTCCGGGATGCGTTTCCCTTTAATGCGAGATGGTTTAGCAGATTTCCGGTATAACGGGACACATTAACCGCGCATCGACTTCCGGTAAAACGATTCGCAAACTGCCTTTGACGAATCGTAGCGGTTTGGGTGTATTGGACAACCCTCATTTTGGTCGTACGATCAAATTTTTCCGACTTGATGGGTTACTGTTGCAACTATTATTTTTTCAATAAGTATAGTCTACGCTGCGTGTTCTCCGCGCACTACTATTGAATCAGTGCAGAGAGAGAGAGAGAGAGAGAGACCTTATTCTGGTTGCGAATTCATTTTTTCCGAGCCCTGAAGAGGCGAGAGAAAATATGAGCTATCAGCAAAATTTCCGCTCGTGTCAGATGTTAAACTCTCGATTAATGGATTTATTATTCCACTATTATTTTCAGTTATTAGTGTTTTAATTTTAGTATGCGAATTACATCCTACGGCCTTATCTGTGTATCATATCGGTCGTATGAGGTGTTCTTTCTTGCTTAAAAGTTCGCTACAGCAGTCAAATTAAAAAAAAATTAAACAAAAAAATTAAAGTTTGGATCATTCAGGTCGGCCAATATGTTGCTACGTATTTTTAGCTTGTTTTAAAGTGTAATACTGTGGCATATTTTGCCGGTTTTATTACTTTATGTGGTAAAATGACACTGCAGTTGAATGATGAAGCTCATTAATTTTCTGATTGATATGAAGTATCACTAATTATTTATTCAATTGCTTATTGCCTTGGCATTTATTCTTAGACCCGCCCACAATTCAAAATGTCACCACGTCATCAAAGAAGTCTTGGATTGGCCAGACAGTGA